CACGTCCAGCATGTTTTGTGCACTGAGCTACAGTTCATCTGAAGACTAAAACTGAAATGTCTTGGCTTGCTTGGACCTCTTACGTACGTGCACTCTATTTTTGCGCATTTTCATGGGTAGGATAATTTTCTATAAGTAGACAAAAGCTTTTGTCTCTGCGTTTTAGAAAATAGTGTGGCAGAAACTATTTTCTGTGTCCCTTTTTGCTACTGAGCAGGCAAAGACTCTGCTCTCAAGCAGAGAAACGGGGACACAAAATTAAATGAGGTGACAGCAACCCGATGTAGGATGTAACATGTTTCAAATACTCCCCCATCTCTTGTCCTTACTTGCAGCTGAGAGAAGAAAAACTCCAGGAAGAGAAAACTTCCGAGGAGCTGATCCACAAGCTCCTCCTCGATGACGCGGAAGGAGGCAAAAGGAAAATGGAAGAACAGCAGAAAAAGGATGAGTCGCTAGTGCTGAAAGTGAACCAAGAGTGTGTAAGTAAGCTTGGGTTTCTCTTTCATGTCCACATCACAGAGGGGCAGGGGAAATTCTGCTAAGGGTCAGGCCTGGAATAAGAAGTAGCTTCTCTAGGCCCTTGGCTACCTGAACATCTCCCTTTTCTGCCTGTTGGAACCTGGGAGCGCCTTCCGTTGGCCAAGGGAGCTTTCCAGGATTATGTGGTTGACTTCAGAGAAGCTCCTGGAGGAGCTAATGGGATATAAAAGTCCCTGCTAAAGAGAACCATCCCCTAAGGAGGTTTGCTGTGACCACAAAGGTTCTTCTGGAGGTTGGTCTCCCCTCTGTGCCGCTGGATTCCTTAGGCTCTAGGGAGTCCTGGAGGATATAAGCAAACAACTGGGAACATCACCCTCACCAAGCACCTTACACCGACCATCCCTGCTATCAATCCATCCTGGAAAATTCCTTAATTAATGAATTTTGGGCCAGTTTCTGATTTGTTACAGCTCCACAGAGGAGAACTTCATGGCCATTTCATCTGCTGGCAGATCTTATTCTCACGTTACCTCCTCTAGATGTAACCGCAGCAGGGCCTTTGGGAACCGTGCCTAGTTTTGCAAGGAGGAGTTTTATTTCCCAAGGGATTCTTTTTGTCCCACGTGTCAGCTAACTCTTCCTTGCTTCCCTTCAGCGCCCTGAACGTCTCTCAGATTCGGAGAACGAAGAACCTTTCCGGGGCAAACAAGCGCATCGGTCGGCCTTCGTTTCCAAGAGCAGTGCCTACTCCTTTGCTTTCCTTTCAGGGTAAGAAGCTGAAATCGAATTGAAGCTTATTAGTGTCCCTGCTAGATGTGAATGTGATGTTCTTTCTCTAAACGTTTCTGAGATGCTTTAAATTTAATGAAAGGGATTGTTCTGGTCCAAAATAAGTCATAATTCTTCCGGAATTTTGGCATATACAAATCCGTAGAACACGGTGTCTAGCCAGTTGCCTCCTGCCTGTTACAAAATTCTGGATGTTGAATTTAGTGTTAATTCCACAAGGTGGAAAAATCACTGAGTGCCTATTTAAATTACAAAACCATCCCAGCGCATCATTCCCTCTGATGCACTCTGGTGTGCTGGATTCTTTTCCAGCCCGGCTGCTAAGACGTAGCACCATCCCAAACAGTTTATCAGCTCAAGCTGTTGCATGATGCAGTGTAAACGGGTAAGGGAGCAGGTGGGCACATGAGAAGCACTGGGATTTCCATAATGTTGGCATTTGTTCTCACCTGAATTAGCTGTAAGCGGTGTCAGGGTGTTTGGAGCAGAGCCCCTGCATGGTGGCCAGGGCTTAGGACAGATGTAAAGACAATTCTCGGACCTGTTCCGTGGTTCCTCCTGCAGCGGGTTCTTCCCGCACGCACGTGCGAGCTCGTGTTGTCACCTTTGTCACCCACCTGCTTTTCAGGACCTTGACCTCCAAGGTGCAGAGGAGCCGGAGCTGCAATGACACCGTTCAGGAGAGATCGAAGAGCAGGCAGAGATCGGCCCCAGCCAACAAGGCAAAGGTACTGCCCGTATCCAAAACCGTGGTAGGGAAGGGGTTTCCAGGAGGAAAATCCTTATCTGAGGTTATGCAGGGCCAGTAAGGTGGAAATACAAAGTGTTGTGGGGTGAAGAACACTGTGTTAATGCACTGGGGACGGTCGTTTCCTCGCCACTCATGATAGAAACCCGCTGGGTTAGAAATTACCTAGCAGAAAAGTGGGCAACCTGCAGCGTTGCTTGGTAGCCCTGCAGGATAACAGGGAATTGGAAGGGCTCTCTCTGTTCTTCCATTTGTGACTCGTTTTCTTTCCAACTTCAATTGATTGAAGAATAATTTTGGGGGGGGTTAAGAAGTTCCGTCATCCTCCACCTCTCCCATTTCTCCCCTGCTCTTTTCCAAACTGGTTGAACAGCCAAGCTCATTCTTGCCCTGGTCTTGCTGAACTTCCCAGTGCTCTTCACTGAGCAATCCCCTGCAGGAGGAGCTGGCCTGGACCTGCCCCCCTCCAATCCAGTTGGCCAAAGGAATGAGCAGGGTTCAGCTGATGGAGCCACAAGTCTGAATTCAGTTGAGATTAGGTGATTTTTACACTGAAAATCTGACCCAGAATATCTGGGGAGCCCTCCTGGCAGTAATTGCTGGGTACATTGCACCCATTTGGAAGAGATCTTTGCCAGTGTCTTTTTTTGCACTCACCTGAAGCACTGGGGACAGTTCTGGGCTCCCCAGGACAAGAGGGGCCTGGAGCTGCTAGAGAGGGGCCAGGGCAGAGCCACGAAGATGAGGAAGGGACCGGAGCAGCCGTCGTGTGAGGAAGGACTGAGCGAGCGGGGCCTGTCCAGCCTGGAGAGGAGCAGCCTGAGAGGGATGTGACCAACATGGACAAGGACCTGAGGGGAGAGTGCAGGGAGGACGGGGCCAAACTCTCCTCGGTGGTGGCCGGTGCCAGGACAAGGGGTGCCGGGGCCAAGCTGAAGCCCAGGCAGCTCCATGTCCATGTGAGGAAGAACTTCCTTGGTGTGAGGGTGCCGGAGCCCTGGCACAGGCTGCCCAGAGAGGCTGTGGAGTCTCCTGCTCTGGAGATCTCCAACCCGCCTGGATGCGCCCGGGTGCCCCGTGCTCTGGGTGTCCCTGCTGGAGCAGGGGCTGCATGGGGGGATCCCCAGAGCTCCCTGCCACCCTCAGCATTCTGGGATTCTGGGATCTGGCTGCACCACCGGGGCGCTCCCCAGCACAAACGGACGTCGTGCGCTCTCCGCCTCTTGCTTTCTCACTAACCTCTGTCTCCTGGGCCGTTTTCTGCCTCCTTTCTAACTCTCTGGCCCATGGATCGTGGCTCCGTGCTCGGCTCGCAGTCCCTGCGGATTCAGGCAGTGAATTCAGGCCAGGGCCACCAGCTGCCAGGTGCCACATCCCGCTCCAGGTAGGAGACGTGGGGATGCAGCATGTTCCAAGGGCAGGGCTTGCCCGGGACACTCTCGGATTCTTCTCCTGTCCCACCTGGAGCCTTCCCGCTTGTAGCAGGAATCCCGCTCCCTTCGGCCACTCTGCACCTCCTGGAAAACCTCCTCTTTACCTTAAGGGCTCCAAGAAGTCTTTCCATTTTCCATTATGTTTTCCTGGAGGACCTGCGATGCTCAGGAAATCCAGGAGCTTTCCCTTCTCGCGGCCAGGGCAGCTCTGTGGCCTGCCAGGACACTGCACCTCCTGCTGCTGCCACCCCTCCTTTTTGGCTCTAGTATCCCCAGAAGGGTTCGGTTCTGGATATCCCATAAATCCCCATTTGGTTCAGAGATTTTGCTTGGAAAATGGTAAAATCCCTGCTGAGCTGGACCCCAAGTGATTCCCAAGCTAGATATCTCCGAGGTCATGGGTATGGATCATTAGAAGAGTGTTTGGAGCAGCTTAGTCACATAAATCTCTCCTTGTGACATTTTACCCTGAGTATGTCACACCTGGGCTATGCCCTTAATTCTTTCTCTGCCATGGCCCAGTAGGTAGCAGGGAATCCTTTGGGAATCCTTTCCGTTGAAGGGGACGCGGTGGTGGCTGCACTCGCACCATGGGATCCAGCCCCTCGTTTTCTCGGGTGGCTTCAACCTTTTTTCCTCTCAAGGTTGGCCCTGTCCCAGAGGCCCAAGGAAGGATCCTGCCCTCGAATCCCCTCGGGATGCAGGACACGGTCGGGCGGACAGCAGGGATGCCCACAGGGCCCATGGCCAAGCCTGGATGTTGTGCTGAAGTTCTGGGGTCAGCATTGAAGTTTTGGGGTGAGAACGTGGCTTGTGCAAGAGGAAGAAGGTGATGGGCTGGCAGGGCAGACGTTCCAACCTGAGAAACAAGTCCAGGCGCCCGGAAGGCTCAAAGCCACCTGGAATCATTTGGGTGCTGTTGAATTCCCTGTTCTCTTGCGTCGCTTGTCCGTGTTTTTCCACGGGGAGAGCCCTCCTGAGCAGCTGTGCCCTGTCTTGCAGGTTCCCGCCATGCCCAGCGCCTCGACGCCGCTGCTCGGGGTCCTGTCGTCGACGCAGAACAACCGCTGCCTCTCGGCGCCCGACCTGAGCGCCGAGAAGCGGCCGCTGCCCAACGCGGCGGCCTCCTTCCCGGCCCTGCACAAGCCGGAACGCTCCATCAGCCCCGAGAGCAACGACAGCATCTCCGAGGAGCTCAACCACTTCAAGCCCATCGTGTGCTCGCCGTGCACGCCGCCCAAGCGGCTCCCCGACGGCAGGGTCCTCAGCCCGCTCATCATCAAGTCCACGCCGAGGAACCTCAGCCGGAGCCTGCAGAAACCGACCACCTACGAAGCCAGTCCCAGGATCTTGAAAAAATGGGAGCAAATATTCCAGGAGCGGCAGATCAAAAGGACTCTCTCGAAGGCAACTCTCACGTCGTCGGCTTCGGAGCCCGGGGACGAGGTTCCGGCTCCTGATGCCACCAACTGCAGCAGCTGCATTAAAGAGCAACCACTGGCACGGGATGAGCACGTCCCACCGGACACAGCGGGAGACGGGAGACATCCAGAGGTGGATTTCTTTCCTTCCATCAGCGAAACGAAGCCAGGGAGGGGAGAGAAGAGCAGAGTGTTGGAGGCCTTAACAGTAGATGACGGCTCCGCAGGAGCAGCCGCGAGAGCCAAGGGGGCCTCCCTAAACGCACGCGTGTCGGAAGGTCCGGACAGAACCGCGAGCGCCCACACGGACAAATCCTGCCTCGGCATCGGCCCCAAAATGCTGAGCAGGAGGGTGCTGGGGGTCGGCGCGGAGCCCCCCGAAGCCCCGGCGAAGCAGCAGCTCAAGCAGCTGCCCCGCGGCGAGCGGCTCCCCGGGCCGAAAAGCCCCTTCA